CACGCAGCCGTGGCACACAAACCTGCCCTGAGACAGCCCCGGGATGTGACAGCGGGACACGGGGACATCAGCCACCCCCAGGGACACAGACATGGCACATGGGACAAGACCCATAGCCCTGGCACCCATGGGCGACAGTGGAGGGGACAGACACACCCGCAGCCACGGCTGCCTCAGTTTCCCCAGACCAGGCACGAAGCCGCCACCGCAGCCCCGTCACCGGCACCGCCATCGAGCGCTGTCACCACCCGCAGGACGGATGAGGTGACCTTTCAGCCCCCCGCGCGGGGACATTGATCCCGTATGGATTTACCATTAAGGAGCAATCACCGGCTCCGGGGGAAACTGAGGCACGGAGGGACGCGGCGGGGACGTGCCACCGGGCAGCGGCCGCCGAAGCCGCCGCGGGGGCGCTGGGCGGCAGAAGGAGCTCCCCAAAACCCCCGGGACGGCCCCACGCGGCTGCAGCCACGGCGCGGAGGGGACACGGCCCGCGGGGACACCGTGGGGAGCCGCCAGCGCGGCCGGAGGCGGCGCGGTCGGGCCGGAGGGGCCGCGGGAGGGAGCCGGTCCCGACCGGAGGGGCCGCGGGCCACTCGTGCCCCGGTTGTCACCCGGGCGAGCGGCGGCGGGGACGCGGCGGGGGCTGTCCCCCGTGGCGTGGCCGCGCCGTGACACCCGCGGGGCCGCGGGCGGGGGGTCCCGGCCGAGCGGCGCCGGGCTCGGGGCAGCGCCGGGAGCGGCGAGCGGCCCCGCACGGCCCCGGGCCGGCCCCGCACGGCCGCGGGGTGCGGAGCCGGCGGGACCGGGGGGCTGCGGGGACCCCCCCGCGGTGGCACCGCGCTGGCACCGGCGGCCCCGAGCCAGGCCGGGCGGATCCGGGCGCTTCTGCCCCATTGCTCCCAGTGACGGCAAACAGAGATTTTCCAAAGGTCGCGGGATGGCTCCGCCGCGGGGGGGGCGCGGCTGCAGCCCCGGTACAGCGGGGACGGGCGGGGGTCGCTGCCTGCCCCCCTCTGCCGGGGCAATGGGGAGGAGGAGGAGGGTCCGGGG